GCTGATTTTATTTATTTATTTATTTATTTATTTATTTATTTATTTATTTATTTATTTATTTATTTATTTATTTATTTATTTATTTATTTATTACATCATCACTTGCAGTAGTTTTTCAGACATGAAACATTTCCAACCCTCCTCCACCCAAAAAGCTACCTTCAGACCCCTTTCATTATGAGGAAGCTGTTGGGGGCAACAGGATGAAGTGGAGATTTTCATAATCCCCCAATGGCTTCCTCAGAGTGAAAAGGCTCTCAAGGGAATCTCAGAACCTCATGGAGGAATTCAAATTCTTAATTTTTGAAAAACCACTGCAGCTGAAGATGTCCATCAGCCTGACCTAATGTAAGTTAAAGCAACAGGATTTCCGCCAATGCTTTCAAACGTTGTTGAGATCAAGAAACAGGAGCTCAATTACTATTTTCTCCTAGAAGTTCTCAAAGTGTAAATAAAATTTCTGTAGAACATCCAATGATACTTTGTACTCATCTGGAAGAAAATGAAAGGTCTCCACTAATGCTATAATACTAAAATCTAATTAAACACCATTAATGGGATGTAGCAACAGCTGCATAAATGTTACTAATTTTACTGACAAGTTGTTTTGGCATTCTTTGCCATTTGGGTTTTTTATTGATGCTTTTGTACCTTTCTCCTTTCTAAAAATATGTAATTTTTCTCTTTCTCAGGGCACTGAGTGGAAAAACAAAATAACAACTGTTTGAAATCAAAAGGAGGAAGAGGATTGATGGAAAATTGGTTGCCACGGTAACATAATTAAATAATGGCTTGATGACTGCGCTCAATGTTGCTTATTACTGTTCCAATTCAGAACAATTATTTCACATCACATATTCCTTTCACCAAAACCAGACCCAAGTAGTCCCTATGTTTAGATGCCCAAGGATCGTAAAAGCTTGTTATGGGGCAATGACTTCCTCATTTTTTCCAGAAAAATTCAACTGGTTCTGACTTACTACCAAGCCATTTAATGCATGGCTGTCAGCAGAAATGGCTTCCTTGTAGAACTGCCAGTATTTTCCAACAGAGGCTTTTTGTTTGTTTGTTTTCAAAGCAAACTAAAGCTTTACTTGGCACAGGATCTTGCCCTTCTGCTGCAGATATGTTGGATTCACTGACCTGGCTAGTAACATTCAATTACACTTTACCTAAACCTTAAAAGCAAATGGCTCTTTTTATGGTGCAAAGAATATCAAAATTATTCCTTTGATCATACTAACATAGTATAGAACTGAGTGACAAAGTTAGAAGCTTATGGTCCTGTACTTAGCAGGCAATGAAGGCTGCCCTGTTTCACTAAAGTGCTACAGAAGTAGCTTTTCCTTTTACACAAAAAAATGACCCCACCATATTAACATGTGTCACATACAGCACTGATGGTACCAGCAGGCAATGAAGGCTGCCCTGTTTCACTAAAGTGCTACAGGAGTAGCTTTTCCTTTTACACAAAAAATGACCCCACCATATTAACATGAAAATACATTCATCCATTCATTCAATTTATACCCTGCCCATCTAGATCAAAGTCTAGATGGAAACCATGTCAAATACCTTGGCTTAAAGTGAAACATCAAATGTTAGGCTTAATTAACCTCAAAAACCAGCTTCCCTCTATATGCAGTTCCTTTGTCTAATGAGCCATATTACAGTCAAGATGACTGCCTTTTTAAAGTAAAGTTTTAGAATCAACTAGAGGACCAAGTAATTAAAATACAATTAATCCAAATGAGTTATGAATCGAAGTGATCACTCCAAAGTCTGCAAAAAAGCATTTTTTAAAAAAAAGTTGAAAACTAATAAAGCAAGCCAACCTACCTGAGAGCAAACGCTATGATGGAACTTGGCTCCTTTTCACAGACAGCAATAGGAACACGTTCGTGTTCATACATTAAGTAATGTTTGTCAGGCTCACTGCATTAAGAACACAGAAGACAAAAGATACTGGTCAGGGGCAAAATATATTCCTGTTGTGTCATTGGAAACCAAGATTATCCACACTCCTGAATTTCCGTTCACCATGTATGGGGGTGAAAGTTGGACAGTAAAAAAGGCTGATGGGGATGGAGGGAGGATGGATTAATTTAACATATGGTGCTACAGGAGAGATTTGCAGATAACCTGGATTGCCAGAAAGATGGACAAGTGGATCCTAGAGCAAATCAAGACTGAACTATCTTCTCTCTAGAGGCAAAAATGTTGAAGCTGAGGCTGTCCTACTTTGGGTACATCATGAGAAGGCAAGATTTTCTGGAAAAGACAGTAAAGTTGGGAAAGGTTAAAGGCAGCAGAAAAAAGGAACGCAAAATATGAGATGGAATGGGTTGCTAAAAGAAGCCACAGGTTTGAGTTCACCAGGGCTGAGCAGGGCTGTTGATGTCAGGACATGTTGGAGATTTCTCATTCATAGGGCTGCTATAGGTCAGAGGCAACTTGATGGCATGTAACAATAACAAGCAAACCCAGGCAGATTCAAGCATTAGTTGCATGAAAACGAAGTTTTGCTTTAGGTCAGACCTGTGGCCAGAGTACATGAGTAAGAATCCAAGAGTCTAATGTCCCTTATGCCTTCCAGTTGAAACCTAAAGGAAATCCCAGATTGACATACCGCCTACAGAAGATATACAGGAATATACACCCGTACAGCAATTTATTCCTGAATGTTTTACAAAAGACATCAATGTTTACTAAAAGAATGGAAGCCTTCACAGCAATCCACAGGGGAGCTAACAGACGGTCATCCGTGGGCTGATTAAGGTCTGAGGGCTTTCTTCTGCCTAGTTCTATTTTAGATTAGCACTGTATAGGAATGATTTAAAGAACATTTTCCTCCCAACCCCCCCCCCAGCTACTGTAAAAAGAAAGAATCTTCCGAAGCAATAAAAGCAATAATTGCATCACAGAAAAATAAGCAAATGTGCCAGTTCTTGAAGATACCTGGACTTGATGAACCTGAGGCCATCTGCATACAAAGCATGTGTGCTATCAATTCATGCCCTCTCCCTCAAACAAACAAACAAAAAAGCATGAACAGGTCCTCAAAGGACCAGTAGATCCACATGGCTGGAGACATAGCCAGCCCACACCCCTAATAGGGGACACACCAGCTTGAATTGCATTTGGAAACCAACTGGCAGCCAAAGCATCTGCCACAATAAAAGGGCCACAGGGATCCAGCACTTGATCCAGACCAAAATCTAGCCGCAGCTTTCTGCACAAACTGTGGTTCCTAAGTGGTTTTTAGCCACATTTGTAAATAAAGCCATTATAGCAGTTCCAGTACGATTTGTCTGTTTGTTCATCTGGGTGTCTATAAATGGCCCTTTAAAAATCTATTAGGGTAGCGAATAACAAACATTAATTAAATGGTCAAGCACCACAACATGTTATGAAAGCAATACAGTCATTAAAAAAGCAATAAAGGGAAGGGAAGCATCACCACCACACAAGAGCAAACATTCTAAAATGCTCAACCAAGCAGAGACGATTTGACCTGATGCTGAAATTGTTAGGCTTCTGACACCATTAGCATGAGGTGGACGTTCCACAAACAGGGTATCCCAAAAGGAAAGGCTCTTTCCCTAGTTGGCATACAGTGTCTGGTCAGCACCCTGAGGCCTTACGACTTCTGCATGTCTTATGGTATTTAACACATGCCCTAAGAGGCTCATATATGGGTAGGTACACCAGACACTGTTGTCACCTCAAAGAGTATATTGTGCCAGAACTATATATTTTTAAGGCTGAATAACATTCCTCTTACTTACAAAGGAGATGGGATGGGATTGTAGCTATTTCCAGGGAGCAGATTTGCCAGAATAGCCTTCATGGTAGATTTCTCTTTCACCTGGCTGTCTGTGGACCCCAACAAATGCCCATCAAATACGTCTGGAATTTAAAAAGACACAGGCCATATCTATATGTGAAGATTTTCAAGCCCAGGGCTTCCACAGTTTGATTGAAAAAGCCATTTTTGAGAAATGAATGGAACACCTGCCTTCCTTCTTAACATGTAGAATTACAACTACAGTACAGTTCAGTCATCACGTACGTAGGTGTCATCAATGTGCTTACAGAGGAGTGGTTAGCTCCTGCTGTTGCTGCCTTCTCTATGTGGAGAACAAAGCACCTAAAGGTGAAAAGGAGGGTCTATACATGAACAAGAATTCCAAGTTTCTACGATTCTTCCTCATATGGGGTAGAAGATTGTCCTCTTCAGACATGTCACTCCACAATAATGGGGTGCATCTGAGTCCCTGTTGCATCTGACCCTACATGCTCCACCTCCAACGAAGTGTGTTCCAATTGGTTTGCTCAGCATCAGCTGACGTCAGTTCCATAAGGCTTGTGATTGGAGGAAGCTAAGTCTCCTGGCTGTAGGAAGCTAAGCTTCGTGATTGAAGGAAGCCTGTTTACAGAGGCAAGGTATGGGAAGTTTTGTTTGCTCCGTGTTCTCAGCATACTTCCGTGTATAAGACGCTCCACAATTTTTAGTGTAATGACTTTAGGAAAAGTGGCTTCTTAAACATGGAAAAATACAGTAGGTTGTGGATAACCAGGTATGGCTCAGTACTGCTAGTAATGATTACCAACTTAGTTCAACAGTTTTGAAACAATAAAGAGATTACTATGAATTTTACTAATCAAGGGGCTAAAAATATAAAGTGAGCTCTGAGTCTTTGATGGACATGTGCAAACAATCCTAGGAATGAAATGTTTTCAGTTCAAACCTGTCACAATCCTAATAAAAGAAGTGACCTGAGAGATCACAGGCACCGACCTATGAAACATAAATGTTGAAAAAGCCTAATCCCCACATGATTAACCAGGGATATCCAACCATGGATGGAAGTGTTGTATCAGAATGGACTTTTATTACAACTTGAAAAGTATATATATCTACATTATGCCTTTTCAAGTTACATATGTTTGGACTAGAAGGTCCAGAATCCGTAAGTCTGCATATGGAATTGTCTATAAGAAAAAAGACAAAACCATGCAGATCAAAGCATGAAGAGTGTGTTTTACTTTAGGCTAGCCTTGTAGCAAGACAACACAGCTAAGAATCCAAAGTTCTTATCTCACTTTGCTTCTGAAATCTAACTGAACTTCCAGTCTTTAATGGGACTTCAGTTATTCTGGGAGATTCTGGGAGCTAGTGACTTTATAAGTAACTTTTCCAAGCTGGATTTTTTAAAAAAATCCAAATCCCTCAGTAGTAAGGTTCTGAGAATTACTGATTCCTTCTGGATTTGATTCTCACTTTAACAGCAGTCTGTAATGATCGATAATTCTGTCAGTAGTATTAACAATACTAGCAGTAGCAACAACAACTTAAGTTAATAAATGAATAGCCCTATGCTTTAAACTATTCAAATTACTTCACCTATATTAATTAAGATTAATTCTTGCCCTCAAAACACTAAAATACCAAAGTATACAGAAACTGTGATACACCAAAAGGCACACCCAGTTTGCACAGCCAACATATTACATACATCACCATGTCCTTCTACATTATGCCTAATTTGGCTGATTTATGCATATGGCGTGATTTCTTATTGTAATTAAATTCTGATCTTTACTCATTGTTCTTAGCTTTACAGGTTGTCTTTTAATAATGTTGCACTGTTGTTGTATAATCATTGTTTCCAACTTTAACTATTGTCTTTGACGGCTGTAAGCTGCCTTGGGTCCTTTTCAAGGAGAAAAGTGGAGTAAAAATATTTTAAATAAATAAATAATTAAACACTTGTGAAATCCATAATTAAAATAAGGGATACTGTCTTCTAAAGGACACAACATAGGCCACTATGTTGAGATCTTATTTTGTCTTTTGAATACACTTTAAAGCCATTCCTAATTTTACCTTGGAGTATACATTATATTTTTTCTGGTTTCTTCAAGGATATTAACCTTTCCACCAATTTTTCAGTTACTCATTTTTGCTGGTGTGCATGTACAATGCCAGCACACACTAGAACAGTCCACTCCAACTGCTGACCCTTCAGAGGTTTTGCACTGCAACTCCCATGGTCCTTCACCATCAATCATGCTAGGAGAGGGTGCTGGGATTTGTAGACCAAGAGAGCTAGAGGCTGTCAGGGCAGGGAAGGCTGCCCCACGGTAAGAAATGTCCCTGTTTTGTGAAGGTGACTTCATTTCATAGAAGAATGTTGCTGTGTGCTTTCGCAAGCAGCAACCAGGAAAGAGAACAACAAAAGAAATGGACCATGAACCTTCAGAGCTGTTAGCTGCGTCCGGCTCAGAGAGTGCATTGCCAAAGGAGGTCCCTCCAGTCAGCTGGTCTGAGACAACTTCAGGTGGAGTGGGAAGCTGGAGGAGAGAAGAGCTGGTAGAACTCTGACTTGACAAGGTGGTCAGGAAACGATCCTCTGTTAAGTGAAAATGTACACACTAGAAATTAACATAGGGTTGTCCAAAATTCAGTGCATTCCTGAATTTTCCACATTTGCTTCTTGAGAAGTACTTACCGTAGCTCACTTGAGTAAGAAAGACAGAGGACATAAGAACAAGCAATTTTCCTTTTAGCACTTACACTGCCATACGGGTGTATGAAAAAACAACCACTTTTATTTATTCCTATGTATACACATAAAAATCCCTCTCCTTCTACCTCAAGTTTTGCAACATTTAAACTTACAGCAACTTTAATGTTAATATGCATGAGAACAAAGAGACTTTCTAAGATAAAGAACGGTGATGAATAAGAAAACAGGGGCCATTGAAATGTGCTTCATCCACAAGCGAATTATTTCTATTGCCAGGTCTCTATATCTTGTTAATCTTTCCAATTCTTTTTCTTATAATAATTAGAATTATATAATTAGATTATATAATTATATAATAATATTATCGTGATGATTATATATATTAAATAGACATTAATTATATATTAGTAGTAGTACTAATTACCATTACTATTACATATTTGCAATGAACATGTTTCTCCCTGCTCCTACAATCCAAAGGTAGTTAAAAATTTATCTGCAATCATAATCCTTTTCTTCTTTTTCCTTATTATATTCATAAGAGGTGGGTTCCAGATAGGACTTCCTGCCATCCATGGTAAGCCATCACCGGGCTCTTTCAGAGAATTTCCCAGGGATGCCAACGAAGAGAAAAGCAGATGGCAAGATGGTACAGAATGGCAGGATGCACAACAAATTATTCCTTTTACCTACCCCACTCTTGAGATTTCTTCACCAGGGAGCCTGATTTTGTCCAGGACTAGAACCTACCCTTTTTCAAGGACAATGATGATAGGAAAGGTGCAAGGCAGCAGGAAAACAGGAAGACCAAATATAGAATGGCCTGACTTTCTAAAGGAACCCATATGTTTGAGTTTACAAGAGCTGAGCAGGGCTGTTGAGGAGAGGACATTTTGGGGATGGCTTATTCAGAGGGCCGCCACATGTGATTGATTGATTGATTGATTGATTGATTGATTGGTTGGTTGGTTGGTTTTGAGTTTACAAGAGCTGAGCAGGGCTGTTGAGGAGAGGACATTTTGGGGATGGCTTATTCAGAGGGTCGCCACATGTCGGAGGTGATGACACATAACAACAACAACCAAGTCTATCTTCAGTCATTGTTTTGTACTTATTCCATGTTCTTAATATATTGCACAATGCATATATGTACAATGATTATTGCTGTTCCATGCCATCAAGTCAGAACTGCCTTACAGAGCCCTAACAGGGCTTTCAATGCAAGTGAGATATTTAAGGAGTGGCTTTTTACCAGTTCTACTCCCCCTATGAGTTGCCATGGCTGAGCAGGGATTAACACCCAGGCCTCCTGAGCCTTAGTCCATCACTCTATCCACATCACACTGATTATTAGGTACGCTGATGACACTAAAAGTACAATAAACCAATAAAAATGAATGTTACTTCTACATTAACTTCTGAAAGGTTTTTTTTTTCCAAGAATTTGTTTTTGCCTTCAATGTCACAATTTTGAACCCTCACCAATTAGGAAAGTAGACCAGATAATGTTTTAGTAACAAGTATAATGCTGTGGAAAAACTAAACCCAACAAGTGTAATTAAGAATCACTGTACTGGGGCCTACGCATGCATAAACACACTATCCAGAAGACAGAGTCATATGAGACATATCCCTTCCCCTCTATTAACCCAAAGAATATGGGCCTAAGTGACAAAAGGTGTGGGGAGGCATAGAACATGAGATGCAAATATTTCAGAATAGGGAAGTTAGAAACATAGAAAGAGATATTCTGATGCTGCATCATTTTTATACGAATAACTGAAGCTTCGTGGAGGTTGGGGGGCATACCTTTTTCACCATTTGGTAATGCTGGAGAAACATTGCGAGGAGATGCATCTATTGAGCTGATCTGTGAAATAAAAAACAATGATGGTTTCCTGCTGCTGTTTTGCTTTTGTATTTCCTACCTTTCACCGTCCTGACTGTGGAATTCTTACACATTGCACTGCTACCAAAAAAGGCACTTCCACCATTAAAGCAGAACTAAATGTTGGGCTGCTTTAAAGTCATTTCCACCGTTAAAGCAGAACTAAATGTTGGGCTGCTTTTCTTTATTCCAAATCAATAAATTCCATTTTAGAATATCAGTTCATTCATTTGCACTGTGATACCTGCAATGGAGTTTGGGATTATGCACATACATCCACCTACTGTATTTGGAATGAAGTCACATTGAAACCAATTTAGAACTAAACTGTAATATGAGAAGACTAGACAAGAACTGTACCCTTTTAATACAATTTGAATGTTTTTATTCCAAATCAATAAATTCCATTTTAGAATATCAGTTCATTCATTTGCACTGTGATACCTGCAATGGAGTTTGGGATTATGCACATACATCCACCTACTGTATTTGGAATGAAGTCACATTGAAACCAATTTAGAACTAAACTGTAATATGAGAAGACTAGACAAGAACTGTACCCTTTTAATACAATTTGAATGTTTAATCCAGATATCTGTAATATGAGACTAGACAAGAATTGTACCCTTTTAATACAATTTGAATGTTTAATCCAGATTTTCCCAGCTTGGCTTTTGGCTACATACAATTGGATGCAAGCTCCAGATGTCCATCCAATATGGAATCAGCAAACATGTTTTATTTGTACCTAATTACAGTGGTGCCCCGCTTAACAATTAACCTGCTTGACGACAAATCCACTTCACGACAATGTTTTTGCGATTGCGATTGCTATTGCAAAACAATGTTTTAATGGGCAAAGCAAAAAAATACGCTTTAGGACGATCGGTTCCCTGCTTCGGGAACCGATTCTTCCCATTACAATGATCAAAACAGCTGACTGTCGGGGTTTCAAAACGGCTGTTCAAAATGGCTCCCCGCTGTGTTCAGGATGGATTTTTCGCTGCACAGGCATCGGAAAATGGCCGCCCCATGGAGGATCTTCGCTGGACGCTGAGGTATTTCACCCATTGGAATGCATTGAACCAATTTTCAATGCATTTCAATGGGCTTTTTTATTTCGCTTGATGAGGATTTCGCTCTACAGCGATTTTGCTGGAACGGATTATCCTCGTCAAGTGAGGCACCACTGTACTAGTAATTAGTCCTCAGATGCCTACTGGGATACAATTCAGCTTCCAGAACACGTAGCACTTTAAGAGCTGTACGGCAAATGCTAGTGTTCTTCCCACATTTGCCTCAGGGATACCTCGCGGAAGCCTCAGAGAAGTAGTGGGAGAGGGAGCATCAGATTTTTCTCACACATTCAATACCATCTTCTCTGAGAGGAAAGATGATACATATAACCCCAAGGCAGTGTCAGAACAAACCTGCCATTTTACTGGATATAATCTAGAAAGTAGGAGAGGGAAATGGAAGCCTCCTTCTTGTCTCTTCTCCAGAACATCTGAAACAACTCTCATCATCAGAGTCTGTTGCCTCTGTTGGACACGTTCACTGTATGAAACATGAGCCACACCTTCATGTCTTGCAACTGCAAAGCTGCTAACCAAAGAAACATACAGATCCACATAGGTAAGGCAGCTTTCATTCTTTTCTAAACAACAGTGCTTAGAACTGAAAAATCTAATTGTGCTGCAAATCACTTTTAACATTTGGCACATTAATAAGTTAATTTGTACAGCAGTGTGGGGTGGGCAGAAGAGGTGTGCAGACGCTTGAAGAAGACCTCTGGATGCATTTTGTAGGTGCAGGGGGAGGAAGGGTTCTGGCGATTCCAATCAACTACATTCTCGACCTCTGATGGCAACACAGGAATGGGCTCAGACATAAGTAGGCAGCTGCCTTTGCCTTCTGAGACAGCCCGCCCTTTGGCTCTTTCCCGCTGAATCAGAACTACAGCTCCAAATTCACCATTCTAAACAACAGAACTCATTACCTTGCCCTCTTCACCTTGTCTCAGTCGCCCGGGACTAGGGGGTACAGATGGACGCTTCCTCCCCTTCTCTTGTTGGAAGAGATCCTGTAACCTATCAACAGAATTTGTGTTATCATTCTCACAGCTTTTTAAAAAAAACTATACCAGCAATGCAGACAGCAACTTTTGTTTTCAAGTACACCAAAAACAAGAAACCTTTTCAAAATGGGAGGTTGGGTGCCCCCGCCCCAAGCTTCTCTGTAGGACAAATGACATCAGGGCTGGGGCTAGACACCCTGGTGTCCCTCAGGTCCCCATACAAAATGCCAGCTGGAACCTCCCCGTGAGCTGTTTGGGGTTGAGGCTAGTTTCGTTTCTCGCTCGCTTCCCTTGTGCACAGGAGAGTGGAAAGAAGTGCAGTTAGAAAATGCCTGAGAACTCCTGAGTTAAAGCACCCTCTCAACGTACCTACCATCCATTGCCTCACCTTCTCCACGTGGAAAAGATGAGCAAGGAGCATAGCGACTCTACTCAGTAACCTTTGTACCCCATCTCCCTTCTGAGGGGTGGGGGCTTTGGAAAGACTGCTGTCTCCCATCCTCAGAGGGCTCTACAAGCTAGATTAGAGCCTGACATATAGGTAAGGCCTAGAACACAAAGGCTCTCTGTGTCTCTAGAATACACATTATTTAGAAGGTAGCAGAAACAAACAATCTAGCCTTTTCCCCCCTTCAGAATTCATTTGACCACTTTATGAAGTTCTTAGTTTGGTTTATTCAACAGGGCTCCTTTAGCTGCTTGTCTAAATGATTAACAGAATTACAGTGGTGCCCCGCAAGACGGGCGCTCTGTTTCACGACGAAATCGCATCACGGCGAAGTTTTTGCGATCGCAAAATGATGTTCTCTATGGGGGAATTCGCTTTGCAATGATCGGTTCCCTGCTTCAATAATGGATCATCACAAAGCAATGATTTTCACACAGCTGATTGGCAGTTTCAAAATGGCCGCCCGGTAAAAAACATGGCCGCCCACTGTTTTCTGGGATGGATTCCTTGCTGCACAGGCAGCGAAAATGGCCGCGATATGGAGGATCTTCACTGGACTGTGAGTTTTAAGCCCATAGGAATGCATTAATTGGGTCTTAATGCGTTTCCATGTTTTTTTTAATATCGCATTACAACATTTTTGTTCAATAGCGATTTTGCTGGAACGAATTAACGTCGTCATGCGAGGCACGACTGTAGTTCATACTATCTGCAACAAACATCAAAATTAATCCTAGTATAAAGCTACATTTCACAGGTTTTCTGCAGTGACTTGACAGCTTGTCAGTGGATTGTGGGTCCTGATGTACTGTACTCTCTTTTTGTTTTGGCCTGATCTTTCTTCTCTTTATTGCTCTTAATTTAAAAGTGACTAAAATCTTAATGATTTTTACCTAAGGTTTGTGTCACTTGCCTGGCAAGGTCATAGGGCATGTCTTGGTCATGGGCCTAATTACACAACCCAGATGTATCCCAATAGCTTATTAACTAGACAAAATTAGCTGTGGTTAATACCAATAGGATTCTAGCCACTATGCCCCATAAAGCCCTATCAATTTGTATTTCATGACTGATATCTAGTTACATGCTACTCTTAACATCTCCTCATAAATTTATTTTTTTAAAATCCAGAATATGTAATCATCTATGATTACAGTAATTAGGTATGGAAGGGAGGAACAAGAAATTGGAATCACTTTCTAATTCCTCTCTTGCGGGAGCTTGGATGGCATCAAGATTACCCTGAATTTGGGTATCAGGCAAATATGAAAGAAAAATAAAAAACAAAGAAGACAAAAACGTTGTGGCACCTTAAAGACTGCTATATTTTAATGTCAGCTTTCATGGACAAGTCCACTTCCTCAGACAAAAGCTTACATTAAAATATAGCAGTTGGTCTTTAAGGTGCCAGAACATTTTCCTCTTTTTTATTATTTATTTTTGTTACATTTTTGCCCAATAGGCTTGCACAGACTAACATGACTACTTCTTCTAGAACTGATTTTGGATGTATCAGCTCTAAATAATGATGCTGTGTTGCATCAAAACAATTTCCAAAATTAAATCTCTTCCTTCCTTCACATCTTTGCCCATTTATTTTATCTTGATCATCTGTAACTATCTGTACTTTCCCCGCCTAATTATATGACTGTATTATTCTAGCCTTCTGCATTTTATCTTTTATGATTTCTTCGGTCTTGATTTATTTGGTTCATTACGCAAAGAAAAACAACAAAGTGTCTTGTGGTCCCTTACAAGACTTAAAAAATAATAACAATCTGGCATTAATTTGTGCAGACTATGGCTCCCTTCATCAGATGTATGAATGAGGGCTGCAGTCCATAATAGCATGCCCAAAAAAACCCCGGTCTTTAAGGTGACACAAGGCTTTGCTGTTTTCACTGCAACAAACTAATACCGTTACCCTGCTCCAAAATCACTGCTCAGTGTTTAACCTTCCAACCAACCAGGACAAGTGAGGCAAATGCTATAGGATTGTGCTGCAACGGGACACAGTAACCATTGGGCAACACAACAAGTGGATCATCAGACAGTAAAGACAGTTGCCCTCTCACCTGTTATTCCAAGCTTGCAGCATCTCACAGAGACTTTGCTTTTTAGTGATCAGAGATTCAGCGACGGAGTGCAGCTGCTGCGGAGTGTCAAGTGAAGAGGAAAGCACCCTCGCTTGAATTTTCTCTATCCAGTTTCGAAACTCTCCTTCTTCCATCTGCCAAAGGAGACAGACAACATTGCCATGGCTCTTCTTGGACAAAGGTCGATTCCTGTTCTCCTAAGAATACTTGTGGCTTACACCAAAGTTCATTTACTTTTGGCTGAACTCTCACAGATACAACCTTGAGTAATTAAAGCTCACCTTTTAACAAGCACGGTAACTGTTGGTGCAGCTAAATACTTACCTCTGCTTTACCTGTTAACATGTCTGCCTCTCTTACCTTGTATTGAACAAATATCTTCAATTAGATTAGATTAGATTAGATTAGATTAGTGAGTAATGAAAGCTCACCTTTTAACAAGCACGGTAAGAGTCACTGGTGGTGCAGCTAAATATCTCTGCTTTACCTGTTAACATGTCAGCCTCTCTTACCTTGTATTGAAAAAATATCTGCAATTAGATTAGATTAGATTAGAGTAGATTAGATTAGCAGTGCATCCTAGCTCTCCAGACTGTGATGGGCAACCTGGAAACCTCCTGCTTTGAGCAAGTATTTCAGATCTACAATACACAGAGGAAGGCTGCTTTTCCCCCATTGAGTCAAAACAGCAGGTTACTCGCCTGTAATTGTAGTTCTTTGAGTGGATCTCTGTGATTCACACCCTGGCTAATCCGCACATGCGCGGAGCCTTGTCGGAAAATTCTAGAGCTTCTGCAGTAGCAAAACAAAGAACAAAAAAAACCACACATTAGTGTAGACCCCTCCCCCTCAGTATATGTACCTTGGCACCAAGACTCTCCCTCCAGTTAGGTCAACCACCGCATAGAATAGCTGTATGGCATGACAGTGGGGAGGTCAGGTCAGGATGTGTGAATCACAGAGGTCCACTCGAAGAACTATAGATTAGCAGTGCATCCTGGGTCTCCAGACTGTGATGGGCAACCTGGAAACCTCCTGCTTTGAGCAAGTATTTCAGATCTACAATACACAGAGGGAGGCTGCTTTTCCCCCATTGAGTCAAAACAACAGGTTACTCACCTGTAATTGTAATTCTTCGAGTGGATCTCTGTGATTCACACCCTGGCTAATCCGCACATGTGCGGAGCCTTGTCGGAAGATGCTAGAGCTTCTGCAGTAGCAAAAAAACCCCACACATTAGTATAGACCCCTCCCCCTCTGTATATGCACCTTGGCACCAAGACTCTCCCTTCCGTTAGGTCAACCACCGCACAGAATAGCTGTATGGCGTGACAGAGGGGAGATCAGGTTAGGATGTGTGAATCACAGAGGTCCACTCGAAGAACTAGAATTACAGGTGTGTAACCAGGCGTTCTTCTTCGTGGCCTCTGTGAATCACACCCTGGGTGACTAACAAGCTGTCTTACCCGGAGGAGGGTGTCATGCCAAAGTAGGGTATAACACAGCACCTCCAAAGACCGCATCAGATTTTTGCTGAAGATCCAATCTGTAGTGCTTGATGAATGTGGACGGCTGTGACCACGTGGCAGAGGCAAAGACGTCCAGAAGGGGAATGCCACGAAGAAACGCTGTAGATGTTGCAACTGCCCTAGTAGAATGAGGGCGAATAAGCTGAGGAGCTGTCAGTCGAGCAAGCTGGTATGCAAGGTGAATGGCGGAAGCAACCCATTTAGAAATCCTCTGAGAGGTCACTTGAAGACCCTTAGCAGGGAGCTGGTAGCTGACAAAGCGTTGAGCTGAACGTCGAAAGGGTTGCATGGGGGCTAAATAAAATGCTACAGCCTTTCTGACATCTAGAGTATGATGGATTCTCTCCTGAGAAGCAGATGGAGATGGAAAAAAGGATGGGAGTACCAACGGTTGGGAGAGATGAAACTGGGAGACAACCTTGGATCGAAAAGAAATATCTGCAAACAGTTTAACCTTATCTGGATAAAACTGAAGATAAGGGTAAGCAGACTGCAAGGCTGCAAGTTCACAGGCACGACGAGCGGATGTGATAGCAACAAGGAACACTGTCTTAAAGGTGAGTAGTCTAAGATCAGCTGATGCCAAGGGCTCAAATGGAGCCTTAGCAAGTTGCTGCAGTGCCACTGTCAAAGACCATTGAGATGGGGGTGGGTACATGTGCGACAAACTCTTAAGGAAACACTTCAGAGTAGTGTGTCTGAAGAATTGTACTGCTGAAGAGGTTGGTGGCTGATAAGAGACTATTGCAGCAAGATAAACTCTCAAGGAGGAAAGGGAGAGGCCTTTGGTTTTCAGATGAAATAAGAAACGAAGGACGGTGGAAAGGGAGGGATTGACCGATGGTAGTGCAGACGCTGCAGTAAAAGACAGGAATTTCTTCCATTTGTACAAAAAAAAAATTCTTTTAAAAAAATGAATATGGAATTGTCTTGTAGGATTATGGGAAACTGGCAAAGGCTGAGTCATTCAGGTTGGCACAGCAATATGCTGTGTCATGCTTACATAACGCTACAGTATGTAAGTAAGTTGCTGACTAGGCTTGTTGTTGGGTTAATGTACAGGGGAATAGCCAGTCACTTTGTCAGAGAGAATCATGAGAATCTGTCAGTTCTGAGGTGCTACATATGTATATTTTTGTAAATACATCCTTGGTGAAGGGAACATCTCCTGTGTCCTGTATTTTGTTTTTGCTCTCAGTTTGGGTTTTCAGATGAAATAAGAAACGAAGGACGGTGGAAAGGGAGGGATTGACCGATGGTAGTGCAGACGCTGCAGTAAAAGACAGGAATTTCTTCCATTTGTACAAAAAAATTTCTTTAAAAAAATGAATATGGAATTGTCTTGTAGGATTATGGGAAGTTTGTACAAAAAAAAAATTCTTTTAAAAAAATGAATATGGAATTGTCTTGTAGGATTATGGGAAACTGGCAAAGGCTGAGTCATTCAGGTTGGCACAGCAATATGCTGTGTCATGCTTACATAACGCTACAGTATGTAAGTAAGTTGCTGACTAGGCTTGTTGTTGGGTTAATGTACAGGGGAATAGCCAGTCACTTTGTCAGAGAGAATCATGAGAATCTGTCAGTTCTGAGGTGCTACATATGTATATTTTTGTAAATACATCCTTGGTGAAGGGAACATCTCCTGTGTCCTGTATTTTGTTTTTGCTCTCAGTTTGGAGATTACCAAGAAAAATCTCAAACAGCATAACAACAACACTGTGCACTCTGAATACTTTCAATTTAGGAAAAACTCACAGAAGCTACCGATACTCGGCTCTCAACGCGGCAGTTGAAATAAACTGTGCTGTGCACTCTGAATACTTCCAATTTAGGAAAAACTCACAGAAGCTATTGATACACGGCTCTGAACGCGGCGATTGAAATAAACTGAAGGGAGAGTCTTGGCGCTAAAGTACATATACTGAGGGGGAGGGGTGGGAGAGTCTTGGTGCTAAAGTACATATACTGAGGGGGAGGGGTCTACACAAATGTGTGTTGTTGTTTTTGCTACCACAGAAGCTCTAGAATCTTCCGACGAGGCTCCGCGCATACACGGATTACCCAGGGTGTGATTCACAGAGGCCATGAAGAACAATATATTACCTCCTTTTGGGCAAAAAGGTCCTCCATCTTCTCCTCCCTTGATTTGCTGAAGGTATCTGTTTTCAAAGAAGTCAGCCGTTCATCAACAGCCAGATATACCTGGGACACTCTGCAATAATAAACAAAAATCTTTAATCCAAAAAAATAGGGGAAAGAGTTAGGTACCATTCAAGATAACCCCAACTCCTTGTACGCTGATATTAAGACCTTAAATTTAGGTGCTACTGGATGCAAATATTCTTCAGTTAAACCTAACACATGTGATCTATACTGCACTTCAAGAAGATATGGCAAAAGCTACATCCTGATTAAAAATGTTATCATATGGTCCAACATATAGTATATAAAAAAACCAAATCATTGCATCTCATGAGCCCTATTTCAGAGAGCTAGAGTTAGCCATTTTTGCTGTTATGTACATATAGTGCAAAATGTACATTTATCACCACATATTCCATAAGGTGATACTTTGATCCATGGTACGAAAAGGGTGCCATAGTAATGTGCCTATAATCACAAAAATTACATTGCAATATCAAATAGAATATTTCCTACTTTTAGTGAAATTGGCTGAACAGCTCAGTGAGTTAGGTAGGGGACTTCCATTCCCCACTATGCCTCCCGGGAGAAGCCTCGGGCAAGTTGCACATTCCCAGGGTGTCCCAGAAGAAGGAAAAGGTAAACCATTCCTGAGTTGTCTTTATGTAGGAAAACTTAGAAAGGGTTACTGTAAATCAGAATTAGCTTGATGATACATAATTATTACTACCCTTAGTGAATTTAAACAAACAATGGCTGGAAATTATTTCAGCGATAAAGAGGTATTTGAAGTTATTCAAGCCATAAAAACCCTGCACTGAACCAAGCTGTGCTTTGATTTGCTGGATCAGGTGAAAATTTACTGGTTCAGGATTATACTCCCTCTCATGAGCATCAGATACTCTCCAAAACCTACCAATCAGAAGAATATGAACACTGGTTGTGGGACTTCTATTTTAGGAATTGGGCCACAGAAAAACGTACATTCAGATGCACCTCAGTGTCTAAAAATATTATGGATATCTTATGGCAACTGACCCCCTATACTATATATACATGATTCTATGATTATACCAGAGATATTCAAAATGTTTGGAGCAGCTCCAGACCTGTTTTAGATGCAACAGCGGCTTTTTTTCCCCAGTATTGCCCCTCGTACCCCCTCAAGGTAAGAGGAGGGATAGAATCAAATTGGGTTGTTGTTTTTTAAACTGGAGATGTAGGGGATTTTTAACGGCCTCATTTGGGCTAGGGGAGGAGAATAAGAGACCTGTAGGCTGCAGTCTGACCACTCCTGTTATAGACACAGCATACTGTGTATACCTTTTGCCTGTCAATTGATTTTATTGAACTGAAAATTATAGGTTCTAGAACAGAATTGGTGGGATGGGCAGAAGAACTCACAATTTCCCTGTTCCCATCCACAGGCATTGCCAATCAATCACAAGAAGAATGCTACAGGACTATCAAGGATTTCTCTCCAACTTTCAGAAAGAAATTCAGCAGCACGCCTCGGTTTCTAGGCTGGGAGATGTGCCTAGCCCTACCACCTGCTCTACAATTTCTGGTACATAACATAATTAGTTCTGGTGACTCATTGTGAAATAGCCACCAATGGCACTTCAGGCTGGATGCCCCAGGCTCCAAACAGCTAAGGAGAGACAGAGAGGTGCTTACTTTTGAGAGAAGTCTTTCAGATCTTGAATTATGGCAACTTTTTGTGGCAGCTGACGTTTTATGTAGATCTTGGGATGGGGGACACATACTTCCAGCAACCGTATTGAAGAATAGCTAGGAAAAGGAAACAAGCACATATCTGAAATATAAATTCTCTGCCATATTATCAAGGACACACATTTCATTCTATCAACAAGGCTATGGGGCTGAAGTCATCTTTGGAATTCAACACAACCTCTGTGCTATTTGGATGATGCACAATATTTAGTTAGGTTGGATTTGCTCCTTTCATTACAATCCAAATGTCTCCCACCTTATTATGGTCCCAACAAAAAGCACACCTGCTAGATAAATCTCTTTTGATAACTTCCAATTAAGTTTGTCAAAATGAACACAAAGAAAATGTCAGTATAGTAGGCTATATAGGCACTAAATGTTTCTTAAAGGCTCCAAAAACATTTTTTGCAGATATTTGCTAATTTCTGCTATTAATTTTAGTCATTGCAAATAATGTTCATAGTTAATATGATGACTCCAAATTTTCTGATATTGTAAGATATTACCTTTCCTATTCCATGAAATCAGATCTCCCTATCAGCTTAATTAGTATTTATAGTTATGAATGAATTCATTATAATTAAATAATATATCCTAAATCAGCCATCCTCAACCCTTTTTTATTTTTATTTTTTTATTTGGCCATGGCCCTTCCAGGAACTCTTCTCAGATTCCAGGTACCCCTGTCAAACAAGGATCCAACATAAACAGATATATTTCAGAAATTTCTCACATGCCCCATTTCAAACGTGCCAGGGTCCCCCAGGTGACTATATGATTCCTATTGAGAATGGTTGTCCTAAATTATGCAGCACCTTTCTCATGACAACCTAATCTAACAATGTCACAGGAAGCTGGAGGCACCTCCCCCCGACTCCTTTCTCCTGTACCTTATTGTGTGGTGGGTTTGGTTCAGCCCTGCTCCTTCTCAAAGCTGCCCAGAAAAAAATCAAGAAGTTCACATCCCTTCAAAGCCTATCCCCCATCGCACTAACTATGGTTACAGAAATAATAATTGTTCAATCATTACACCCAAAATTTGGGGACACCAGCAGATCATTTACTTGGCCTGAAAGAATGGCTACTACTAAACATGAGGAAATGTTAGAGTATTTTGAAGTCTGACATTTTATTATGAACAGGCAAGAAGAATAAAATATTTTGATAACTTGGAAATTATTAATAGCTCTGTGTAGCAGACTAAAAATAGGTGCAGTATTAAATATTTGATTGAATTGACAATGTTTCAGTACAAGAAAAATAAGGATAACTTTTTCTTCACTAATTAGCTTGTTGAAATTTAAAACATCTCATTATAACACTGATGAAATGATAATTGTAGCTGGAAGGGTTTGTCATCATATATTATACAAATCCTAACTAAAATGGTTGTGTTTGATGGTTACCAGTAAATTTTCAGGGGGCATGTTTGCCCTGTATTTACTATACCGGAAACTTCTGTGTGAACATAAAGAGAACTAGAAAAATTATATATTCATTGAGTATATGATATTTACGTTACTGACCTAGTTAGGATTTAATTTAAAAAAATTAAAATGCAATACACAAAATTAAATAGGTTGCACCCCTCTTATTTTTGCAATCAGAAATTTTAAATCTTAAGGGGAGGAAAGATGTCTGGATTGTTACCTGAAAGAGGCCACCATCTGATTGTAGGAAAAATACTGGTGATAGTCATGATGTATAGAGTGGCCACATGGTTCAGCGTTTGCCCTTCGGGTGTACTGGTGCCCATAAAAACGGAGCTCAAGGTATTTGGCAAAGGACATTGACCATGAATCATTGGAAAGTGGAACAACTGGCGTTACCTGGAAATGGACAAACAGGTTCATCTGAATGCAACATTGGACAAGCACTCAAAACACTCAAGCTAGACAATACTGTCTTACTGGGTGGGTTTAGAATGCAAAGCATGCATATATGCCTAGCCCAAACTCATATTGGTAGTGTTAATAAACATCAGGACTAGCAGATCTCCAGATAACAAAGGAATAACTACAGATAACAGTTGAATCTGAAGAGCCCAGTTTTACAGACATGCAACCATTTCAAAAACCCAAATAGCCTAACTTGTGGCATGCCCTCTTCCATGCTTAGAACTGTTTTAACATTATTTTTCTCTATCAGTTTATTCTCTCACAGTTCAGTACTTTCTCTGTTCTCTCCAAATAAGACATAATAAAATGATTGGAGCATAAACTGCCTCAAATCTCAATCTTATATATAAACAAACTCACTGGATAGCCTGGGACAAGCCACTATAACTCAGCCCTGTTTACACCCCTCACAATACAAACTGTTCTACCTCACAAGCTGCTTTACCATTTGAAAGGTATTGAACAGGATCAGAATGCAAACATATCATATATGAATGCTCAGTACTACAGTACATTCTTAAAGGGAATCTTATCCTAATTTTATCCTTTTTTTTAAGGTCAAAAACTATTTTTCTCAACAATTCAATTTCACTGCACACATGCTGTGCATTGACAAATAAAGGTTATTATTATAAAAAAATCTTCCCTTGCCTAGTACCCTCCAAACAATGCTAGATTACAGTTCCCACAACAAATGCTCATTGTGGTGGCATATACACCTGGAAGGCATAAGGTAACAGAAGGTTGGCTCATTTGGTATCTTATGGAAATGAAAGGTCTTCAAAATGATTAAAAAGTGTCACTGAGAAGGTAGTTTTATTTTTGGTTTCAGAAAGCTAGCCTCTAAATATTATGGAAAGAATATTGATAGAGTCTCAGTTTGTAGAGATTATCTCAATGAAGACATTCATGATTATACTCATGAACACAGCATTCAATGGCAGGCTTCCAAGGCATTTACTGTTTTCAACAAAACTGGATGGATGTACACAGAGAGATATCAAAGCCCCAAGCGGGGCCCTAAAAGCTTTCTCTGCAGGGCTAGACCATCCTCTTTGTCAGGGGCTTTGCTGGGGCAGGGAGAGGAAGTCCAGTTCCGCAGTCACATACGGAAGGGCCCTACTGGATCTTGGCCAAAGGCAAGAACTCAACACAGAGAGGGCCTAGTGACATGCTCATGCATTCTGAACGAGCTCTGCCTCCCCTACCCACACAACCCAGCTTTCTGAATATTCACTAGCAACTACTTGTACTCTATAAGAACTGGCTTTGTAAAAAACAGAACAGGGATCTCTCATTACCTGCTTGCATATTCTACACCAGGAGTAGGTAAGAATTGTGTGCTGGTAACCAGGCACTGGGGAGTCCAATTCCTTCAATACGATCTGTACGCAGCCTCGACCATGGACAAAACGGCGGACATGGTGCACCATAGGCGTTTCACAGAACATGCTTGGGCACTGGTAGGAAGGCCTTCAGGGAACAAAGCAGGAAGTATGAAGGAAACATACTTTTTGTCTTGATAATGATTTTTCAGCCTGATGCTGAACAGCAACTCTTTCCAATATAAACCTGCTAATATGTTTTGGACTATAGCTACCATCATCCCCAATCAGCTCAATCAAGGGTGAGGGGATTATGGGAATATCTGGAACAGACTAGCTTGGGAGAGGCTTCTGTGTAGTATTCACTCTACATTAATTACCTCAAGCTTTTTCTGCTTGTTAAGTAAATGAACTGTTTATCTTTGTACTGTAAATAATACACTATGGTCAAAATAAACTGCATATTTATCACATTTTTTTGTGGAGGGATTTTTTGACCTCCATTGTGAGAGGGAAAATGAGTTACCTAGAAAGAGTCTGATTTGACCCTTAGTTGTGTCTCTCTAGAGCATCAAAACAAATAAGAGCTTCTCTGCACAAAAGGAATGTCCAACTGAATGTGACACTACTGCAGCAATTTACTCTAATCATTCCAGGAGGAAAGAATGGGATAATAAACATGACAGACTAAATGAAACTTCCTGTAAGGGGGAGGGGGGGGATGCTCAATACTACATAAAAAGGAACTAAATAAAGTGAAGTCTAACAGTACAAAACAACGCTGATGGAACCCTACAGAAACTTACTGTAGCAGTATATTAACATTTTCAATAGAATCTGAAAATCTAAACAGAGTAAATCTCACCTGAAACAATACCTTTCTAGAAACACTCCCAAAGTGAGGTCATTCTTTCCATAAAACTCCATTACCACCATCCTACAGTAATTGAGAACAAGAAAACTGTGTTGTTGTTTTAAGTAATTTGAGAATTGTTGTAGGATAACTTCCTAGAATTTCAGGATCCCATGTTTTTTCCTGAACCTGAGAAAGGCTCATATTACATGGAAAAAAACCCCCAGAGATTTCAAAATGACTACTCATTTAGTCATTATATTGCTAGATTTTTGTAGTCCCTACTAGGGATGGGATCATCATCATCTTAGAACTACAGAGCTTGGTGTTGTTTTTTTTAAACTACAAAACCAGTAAGTCTGCTAGAATTGCCTAAGCTACAATTCTGGAGCTTTAGCTCATTACCCTTCAAATCTGTACAAATAGGCAATTGAACAACATGATACAAGCTAACCAAAGGACTGGTGTTGTGTGTCATCTATATGACATAAAGTATACAAAAATCTTAGCTATTGCAGTATAAAGAGTTTCACAGAATTTACTGCATCTACAACTTCAGTATAACATGAGACTCCGGGGAGGATTAGATCTTCTGTCAGAACTGAGGGAAGACAGCAAGACACCCCATCTACCATTTCTTCAGCATCAGGTCTAGGAAAGCATATGTGTCTTCCGCAGGCAGGGGAGGGAAAAAGAAAGCGGTGGCTCAATTCTCTAGGATGGGATGGACATCTTGTGGTTCTCCAAGTGCAGTTGGACTGGAACTTCTGTCACTGCAAGAAATGCAGTCCAACGACATCTATAGTGTCTGAAGTTGCCCACATCTGCCTTAAAGAATATGTAAGGGATATGTAGAGGAATATGGTGGCAGCTCCTTCCCACTGCTTATTCTCCAACATCCACCTCAGCTGGGAGATTTCCAGGTGGGGTGGGGGTGGGGGTTAGATTCAAGATGGCTGCAGATATTTTAGTGTTCTCCACATGAAATATGGTGGAAGAGATGCCACAGATATATTCTCGAGCAGCGCTTCCTGCTCCAGTGCCAATGGTCATGACAAAATTACAACCTTATGTCTACACAGAAAATATATATATTCAAGACACACACTGAGATTAGTCAGAGGGAGAGGAAAAAAAGGAATTAAATCCACACCATGGGCTAACACAGGCACTTGGAGCGTTGCTGGATTGAGCTGAAGAGCTGCTGAACAAAACGCAGAGTCTCTGGTGGTTTGCAGGGCTAAGGCAGTCCACCTAGCAAGACACATCCCAGAAAAAGAGTTAGTATATCACTCCTCAAATGAGCAAGGTCGTTTTGCAGAACATCCAAGCCACACAATCATTACCAACAGGTTTTAGGAAGGCAGGGATAGATCTGGGATAATGCTATAGGGAGACTAAACAAATGCTTACAATCAGTGCAGTATTCATGCATTTCTCATTTGCATGTAAATGTTTCATCCCAGGTGGCTTATTTGCATAGCAGATGCTGTAAAGTCATACACATGACACTACTTTGGGGTACCAAAAGGATAGGTTGGGTTTTAATTTTTTCTTTCTTATTTCAAGGACAGTGGAAATATGGCCCTCTAGCTGTTACTGGAAAAATTCTCAGGGCCATTCATGTATGAGGGTCCATGGAGGGTACAACACGAGGAAGGGCCACCTTTTCTTTAAGTCCTATTCCTGCATTTTGAGCCGATATTCCTCCCACCCACCCCCTCACACTCACATCCTTCTGTAGCATAATACTGCTCAAATCATGGGACAAGAACACTAGCCACAGACATTTTATTCCCCCCCAAAAAGGGGGGGTGGAATTAGCCCTGAAAACACCCAAAGTATCATGCTGGCCATGTGCATGGTGGAGTGCCTGAGGGACATGTGGAAACTTCTTGCCATAGCAACACTTTCCCCAGCTTATCAACTTCAGACGGGAGCCCAGCTCTCTTCTAAAGTCACTGGGGGAACAGTGTTTATGTACACACCCCAGCTTGCCACATACAAACATGTGTGAAGATTCTGTGCACTCTTTTGCCAAGGGGATGCCTACCCAATGAAAAATTTAAGGGGCCCAGTTTCAGAAGTCTGAAAAATGCTACTAAAGCTTGAATATCTCTGCCTAAAATTCTCTTTAAAATTCTTGTTTTAAAAACAGCCTTTCCCCTCAACATTCCTACAGTACTAAACAATACAGTTTTGAGCTTTGCTCACTTACTTTATGAGACCAGAGAGATTCACTCTGAATAAACCCTCGCTCTTCATCATCGCCAGTCCTATGTCCAAACTTCATGCCAGCTGCCTCTTTGGTTTGTACAAATGGGTCTGAATCTTTCTGTACAATCCTTCCTCCCCTGGCCCGGAAATCAGCCACCATTCTTGCCAAACTTTGGCTACTGTTCAAATGCTCTGCAATTCTGGTGCTCACAAGCTCATGGGAAGGTAAAATCTGGATGGGTTTGGCCTGGATGCTTCCATTCATTCCTTGCAACCCAGCCAGATCCCTCAGCAAGTGTCTTTTCCTTCTGCTGTCCAGCTCTTTGTGTTCCTTGTTGAGCCGGGGAGACACATAGACCTGTTCCAGGAAATACTCCCTGGTGGGACATCTCATGCCTCTTTCTGTTAACAGGAAGGGTTCGTGGAATGTGATTAATGGAGAAATGCAGAGGATAATGTCCTTCAGCTCTTGTTTAAATGCCAGAGACAAAGCTCTCAGGCGATCTTCAGAGGAGGTGACTTCCTCTGCTACATACAAGCCAGTGTCATCTTGAAGGGGATCTCTAAACTCCCTGGTCTGACTTTTGGGCTCCTGGTAGTCGTCCATACCCTCTATGCTCCCCAACTGCTCATTGTCTAAAATTCCCAGCTGTTGATCCGTCAGACTGAGGGGCAACAATGACTCCGGCACCAATGTGGAAGAAAGGAAGGGTGCTATAGCAGAAGAATTCATCGGAAAATGCTCTGGCTGCTTCTGGGAGGCAACATCTTGTAGATCACCACTGACCTCACCATCCTCTTCTGTCAAAGTTTTCTGTTCCACGTTGCTGAGGTCATCTGAAGATGCTAATTCAGAGATCATGGGCAGCTTGTCCGATGCTGAGTCAACATCTTTTCCTGCTGTGCTGTTTACCTGATCGTGGTGCCCATTTTCTTCTCCCTGTCCTTCTGTCAGATTGGGAAAGGAGCCATTTTTGGCCAGCATCGGAGGCATGGCAAACTCATCCATAAGAAAGGAGATTTCCAGCTGAGAATGGTAAGCCACACAGATCATAAATATAAGAATCTCCTTCACGCGAGCCAACTCGTATTCACCTGCACCACGTAGCTTGATGGTGCATCCCAAGTGCTGGGGGCAGCCTTCAAAAAACATCAGTGTTTTTGTCTGATCTGAAAGAGAAGAGAATGGTGTCTACCTCATTCACTTTGGAGAAGATTTTGCTTAGAAATTTTTTAATTCATATCCCTGGGTCACACACAGGAGCAAAATGTATTAAATTTGCATCACATTGATTTCATCTTTCTGATCATATAGCTCCCCAGGGCCACTTAATAATAATAATCAAAGAACATGAAGGGATAAGAACGTGAAGCTAAGCTGTTCAAACCATTAAGCATTCAAAAAACACAAGCATGCAACTAAGAACAGGCATATAGCAACAGTACAGCAATCCGACTACAGCAGAAGCAGCTTGGCCAGTCCCACAAAAGCTTTGCAAAAATTCATTTTCTCTACATGAAGCTGCCTTTGAAAATGATTCAACTGGTACAGAATGTGGCCTCTCATATCCTTGTTGGGGGTTATATGACTGGAGCACATTACACCAATTCTGTTCAGGCAACCATTTTTCCAGTGTGCTTCCTTCGTTGTCTGAGGTTTTGCTGCTTGACCTTTAAAAACCCTAAATAGTTCGGCTTCAGGTTATTTTGAAGGGCTGCCTATACTGATACAATCCTGACTGTGTTGTAAAACAATCCAAACACAATTTACTGGTGTGTCATTAAAATGAGTCAGACTGGAGGGAACTAGAGACATACAATGCTTTTCAGCGGACGCCTCTACCTTACAAAATTAATCCCCTGGCTTGTCCAATCTATGGTTACTCTTAGGAAGGCTTTTAAAATAAGTTTGTTCTCTATGGCTTTTCATGGGAAATGTTTTAAGATCTTTGCTGCTGTTAAATTCTTAACAGTGTATTTTAGCTAGTTTATTTTAGAATTCTATCCCCCAACAAGCCATTTACATTTGATTCATTGTACCAGTATATGTTTTATATTAGCTTTCCCTTCCAGGGACCCTAGATATATTTTGCATCAAAATTACAGTCAGCTCTTTCCAAAATTTGGAGGGGAATACCTGGGGAAGTCTTCTATGATATATCACATATACATGGTCTTATTGGTTACATAATTTTCAAGCACTTCTTTACATGATGTTCTAATGGATTCCAGTTCTATAACAGGTTATGCTATAAACAGATTTGCCAATCTTTAAGACACTGTAAGATTCTTGTTTGGTTTAGACACAACTGACTAACTCAGCTGCTTGCCTCAAGGGTGATTCTGGTGCTCTGGAAATGTGCTGACAGATGTCAAAATAATATAGAAGTAAATGATTGTCCCTTTACTGTATGAGAAAAGTAATCAAAATACTTTAGGTATTGGGGGGGTGGAATGGTGTAAATCTACTTTTTTAAAAAATGCAAGAGCACAGTTATAATTGCAATGAAACATGCTAATTTAAGATAAGACTGGGAGATTGAGCTACAAATCTAAGTCATTAGCACAAATTTGCCCTAACTTCACTAAGTAGCTCAAGGCAAGCCACCCTATCTATTACTTTTAAACTCAACAAATGCACAGATCAAAGGCAGGACAGTCGTGGGGATGCAGGTACCATTCTCCTGCTCCAGCATTCTTGGGGTTTGGCAACACAATAGTCTTTCAATTAAAAAACACAGACATCTGTTTCTATCTACAGATGTTCTATTGCTGCTAAAATGGAGTTATGTGGACACAATTCTCTCTTTTTTGGAAAAAATGAAACAATCTTGCTGATTTTGGGGTCCACAACAGCAGTTTTGGGGGCCATATGTGGCCTGGAGATCACATGACCCCCACCATGTAGTGGGAAGTTGACAGGTAATACTGACCCACACATTGCATAAGGTAGCTACAGATGTAGGTAAATATTACTAAATATATTGCTCATTGATATGGAAGTCTAGATAAAGAGGGCTATATATACAGAGCATTTTGAACATTTACAAGCACTACATAAATGTCAGGCTACAGTAATCACGCATGATAATACTATTACTGTAAATAGCATTGTATAAAGTACAGTGGTGCCTCGCAAGAGGAATTTAATTCATTCCACGGTTAATGTCGTCTTGCGAAACGCGTTTTCCCATAGGAATGCACTGAAATCTAATTAATGCGTTCCTATAGGCAAAAAAGTCAGAACAAAGTCAAATTTGGTTTACAAAGGGTTTATTAAGAGCTCTTTAAAGCAGATGATTATTGTGCAGATGATTTCAAAAATTTCAATCAAAAAACTTTAACTTTTTAAACATCATAGAAAAACATTTAAAAATCAGCAAACATGAGGCAGGAACAAAAAACAGAAAGCATTCATCTTGTGAAGCATGGCCATAGGAACATTCGTATTGCGAGTCATCAACCCCATTGCCAAAACCATTCGTCTTGAGAGTTTTTCATCCTGTGAGGCATTCGTCTTGCAAGGCACCACTGTACTGAGTCATCCCATGAGTTGTGGGATCATACTATTTTTTTTTAAAAGGCCCAGTGTTTCTTAGTTTTACTTACCATTTGGCAACTGAAAAACCTGTATGTAAAATTTATGGCAGGTCCCCAAGTGTGGCCTCGTCAGCAGCTGATCCATTGACATTAGTACATCCCCCTGAGTCATTCGGCTTACTCTGTCCAAGACATGCTGCAAAACATTGATAAAGAACAAGGGCTTTGCACTTTACCTCTCATTGCACTTGCATCTAAGAAGCTACAGAAGACTATTTTGTGATGCAAGATGTAAAGCATAATAAATTATCTGCCAAATCTCAACTGGAGATGCACACTGTATAAAAACTACAGAGCCCCAAATCTGCCACCTAGTAAGAGTCAACGGATAATTACACAATTTGAAGGCATCTCACTTTGTTTTTTGCAGTGATTCAGAAATGCTAACAAAGACTCTAGAAGCACGAATTGCAACATAATAAAGTACAAAACACACTGTTTAATTGTGGAACTGACTACCATAACATGTGATTGCCTGCATGAACAGCTTTAAAAGGAGTCAACACAAATTCACAGAGTATAACATTTCAACTGGCTCCAAGTCATGAAACCTACAGATTATTTTCAGTACCAGAGGCAATATACCCTTGAAGACCAGTTTAAAATAAAAATGGGAGGGGGTCCAGATGGCCACTGTGTGATCAGACTGCTGGATCAAGAAGTATTTGATTTGACCCAGCTCAAGCTCTTCTGAAAATACTGATCAACTGAGCAGAACGGCAAGAGGCTGCCTGCGCCTATTTGACAGAAAGAGGACAAAGGCGATACAGTGCATGAACTGCAGCCCAACCTGTTGCTCAAGCCCTCCATAGGAATTCTAATTCTTTTATCAAAAGAAAAAAAAGGGAAGGGAAGGAAAGAAGTAGGTAATTTCAATAGAGCATGAGAACACCGAAACCAAAAGAAAAAAATGGAAGGGAAAGAAAGGAAAGAAGTAGCTAATTTCAATAGAGCATGAGAACACCGAAACATTTTTAAAAGGAAAAACAGGGAGTCAGAAGCCAATTGATCTCTCTCTCTCTCTCTCTCTCTCTCTCTCTCACACACACACTCTCTCTCTCTCTCTCACACACACACACACACACACACACACACACACACACACACACACACACCAATCTAACCAAAGACAAATAGCTTGGTTAGAGATTGGCAACCCAATCTCTCTCATTCCACATGATATTATTTAAGGAATCACACCACTTCAAGGCAATCAACTGCATTTACATTTAGAATTGTAGGATTTACCGGCTTAACGTTGATGACCAGAGTAATGCCATGTTCTAGCAGCATGTCTTGGGCAATGCGGGACACCGTTTTTTCCACCAAGACCAAAGTAGGCCTGACATCCACTATCCGCTGGACATAATTCTTCAAGAATTCCCTTTCCTAAAGTAGGAAAAAATGTTATTCATCCATCGTGTGTATGCTACAAAAAAACAGGCAGTATCTCAAGATGAGGTATGAAAAGGGCCACAAATCTGAACATGCTTCTTCAGAAAGTAAGCTTTGTTAAAATCCGTGGGAGGCTCTCAAGCGAGGAAGCCTAAAGATCTAAACAGCATCCTAGATTTAAGTATTATTCACAGAGGAACATTGCAGAGGTAACATCCCAATGTCATCAGATGTAAGAAACATGTTACAGGTCTGAACATCCCTTCTCCTTTTTTGTTTTAACCAGTATACATACTCTTATGCTTAACACGAGGTTCATCTAGAATCTGCAAAAATATATATATATGTACAGTGGTGCCCCGTATAGCGAGGTTAATCCGTTCCGGATTAACCTTCGCTATATGAAATCTTCGCTAAGCGGGAAGTAAAAAGCCATTGGAACGCATTAAACTTCATTTAATGCGTTCCAAATCGGCCCTAAACTTCCCACTTAGAGAAGTTTCCTGGCCCCGGGCAGCCATTTTCGCGCCCTCCCCTCGCTTGCCGAGGGCGCGAAAACGCCGCGCGGGGCCATTTCGGGTCGTTTTGAAGC